AAAAAAAAAAAAAAGAAAAGAAAAGATGGGCTGTGAAAGAGTCGGGTGTGGTGGTGCCCCTGTAGCTGCAGCTACGTAGAAGGCTGAGGCCAGAGGATCGCAAGTTGCAGGTCAGCCAGGGTAAATTGGTGAGATCCTGTCTCCAAATGAAAAATAAAAAGGGCTGGAGATATAGCTCAGTGCTGGAGCACCTCTGGGTTCCTTCCATTCCTAGTGCTGGTGGGAGGAAAAAAGGATGACAGGGTGAGCTCATTGCGTAGCTGTCATTGTGCATTTAAAAAAAGTTCCACTGAAAGGCACGTTCGTGCCAGGACAAAGGGCTCCAGATTTTTCGAGCAGAGAATCACGAAGCTTCACCATGTGGCTCACGCACAGGAGGGTGGAAGTCACCCTTTCGTCCCCCTGAGTCAGAGCTGGTCGCACACCCGTACAAAAAAAAAAAATGTGTCTCTCTGGTTGCCAAAATCGCTCGTTTTTCCTTTCGCAGGGCTTCCAGCCAGCTGTCCTGGTTTTCCAGCCATTGGTTTATGGTCATGATGTCCCTGTACCTGCTGCTGCTGCTTTCAGTGAGTGTCATCAACTCCTCTGCTTTCCAACACTTTTGGAATCGCGTGAAGAGATAATCTCTCTGGGCTTGGTGTGGGGGCGCCTCAGCCCTGTGCCTTCTCGTAGCCTGTTCTCTACCTCCTGTGCCTTATGTCCAGCCAGGTTGAGCCTAGGGGATGGTTGGGGGACTGCAGGACAATTTTCCGTGTGTCGTAAGTGTACCGATTGCCTTTGATAATACTTCCAGCCACAATGTGGTCAGTGAGGACCCCCGGCTCCCCTCGGTCCTGTGGAGTTGGTTTCTTCAGCCAGGGCCAAAGGAGAAGTCCTACTGCATTTAAAAACAAAGTGTCCCAACCCTGAGCGGCACGGTGGTGTTTACAGTCACTCCTGGCAGAGGCTGGGCCTTTCTCTCAGCCTTCTGGAAGGCGGGATGCGTGTAGCAGGGACCATAAATCACTGTAAATCACTAGGTGGTTGCCTTGTTTTGACTCGAGACATTCAACAGAGACAGCCACGTTTCTCCCCAGAAATCAGCAGGATTGTTTTGGGATTCCATCAGCTTTTGTACGTGAGTACATAACATTTTCATAGTTTTCACAAATCAACAAACAGCTGCCTGCTGCAGCTGGATCTCCTTCTTCCAGACCGAGGACAAGAATGGAATTAACCAGAGGCCTGATTAAAAAAAAAAAAAAAAAAAAAAATTTCAGACTTAACAAGGAGCAACTTGAGTCATCTTTTTCTAAAAATTACCAGCTGCTGATTACAGCTGAAATGGAACCAAATGTTTGTTTTCTGATTTTTTTTTTTTTAATAGCCATTTGACAAATTAGTCCTTGTGAGCAGAGTAAGGGGGAACTTTCTAAACCTAGAGCACCATCTGGCCAGGATTCACAGCCTCGCTGCTGGCCGTGTTTTAGAGAGATGTTGCTGAGCCATGGGCTTGCTCCTGTTCTCCTCACGAAGCTGCCTTGACCGTGGCCTCAGCCACTAGCGCCATGCCGCTGGCCTTCCGGACACAAAGTGCTGCAGAGCCGTGGACGGCACTGCCTCCAGGGGCATCGTGGTCCGGTGACACGGCCTGACTTGGTGGTCTCCGACCTCTTCCACCTGCTGCGTTTCAGCCCTGATGGAGTCCTGCCTTCCTGGGGGTGGCATTTTTAGAAGGGAGAAAATCATTTTTCTATAATTTGTAGAGTTGTGAAAAAGCAACTGTCACGGTTTTTACATTGGATGTTGGAACATTTCAAAAATAATAAAGGTATTTTCCTAGTTACCACAGCATCTTTGTGACCACTATCAGCCTCCCTGTGTCTACTGTACATGCGCTGGGGTTCAAATCCTTTTCCCGCTCTTTCCTGGTTCATGGTGGCTGTGTGCTGAGTATCGAGGGGGTGGGACTTCTGTCACAGGGCTCCCACGTGGGAGGGGCACACACTGCGCCAGGCGGCAGGGACCCAGCGGGATCAAAGCCCCTGCACTGGCAGGGTTGACAGTGGCAAGGTGGCCAGGCACACGAGCTCCTCAGGAATGAGGTTGGCATGATACCGGCATCACAAGGCATCTGGGGATTATGTGGCACAGGGTCCTGACGTGGTCCGGGGTCAGAAGTTGGAGCGGACAGGCGGAATGCACCTGTGGCTACTGATTTCTTTTTTACAGCAATCCTTGCTGACTCTGAGAGACAAGGAGCTGGAGCGCAAGGGCTCAGCCAAGGTTTTATGGCTGGAAGTGGCAGAGCTGGTGGCCGAGCCCAGCACAGATGAGGATCAGTGTCCATCCCTTAGCCACCCCTTTCACCCCACTCCACCCCCAAAAAGGGTGACTTTTACCTGCAGCCTAGAAGAGGAAGCCTGCTGGCCACACGGTGGTACACACCAGTAATTCCACCACTTGGGAGGCTGAGGCGGGAGGATCACCACGAGTCCCGGGGTGCATAGTGAATTAAAGGCCAGTCTGAGCTACACGGTAAGACCCTCTGTCAAAAACTACAATCTGGGCCGGGGCGATGGCTCAGTAGGATAAGCGCTTGACTGGCAAACGCAAGGATCTGAGTTCAATCCCCGGTTCTGCCAAAAAAAAAAAAAAAAAAAAAAAAAAAAAAACCCTACAATCTGTTCTAGGCTGAGAGGGGTAGGCAAAGTGTTTCAGGCAGTGGGAAGAGCACATGCGAAGACCTGGAGTTATGGAAGGAGCTAGAAGTGAAGGGGGCCTGACAGGAGGCAGGGTAGGAAAATGGCCTGCAGCAGTTGGCGGGGGCCAAGTCCTGAAGCCCTTAAAAGCACTGAGTGAGGGACAGTGTGAAGGGGACTTACGAAAGGAAGATGGAATTTAGCTTTCTGAAAAATCTCCCTGGCTGGTGGGTGAAGGCCAGATTGAGGATTATCCTGAGGACTGAAAGATCTGGTAGGAGAGAGACCAGCACTGAGTAAATAGCAAAGAGGCTGTTGTGTCCTTGTGTCATTGTCAGGGTCTTTGCTGCTGTTGTTGTTTGTTCGAAATGGCCTAACAGAGCAGGAACTCTGCAAAGAAGATAGCAGACGGACATGTTCAGAGAAATAGGAAGAAGCTGAAAGTGTGACAGGCCTGAAGGGGAGGTGGAGGAGCAATGTTCATGCCGTTAGAAATTGGGATTATGCCTGCAGAGCAGCTGTTAAGTTTGCTGCTGGTGTCGATGGCAAATTTGGCAGGATGGGTTTCTGCAGGGAACAAAGACCACAAGGCTGTTTTGTCTTGGGGACAGTGACAGTGTCTGGGAGGCCTCAGTTCCTCAAGACCTGGCCGTACAGCTCAGATTATGAAGCCCTCCTTTGGCTTGAATCGTTTTTGTTTTGGGACTCGAACTCAGGGCCTTGTGCTTGCCAGGCAGGTGCTGTGCCACTGAGCTACATCCCTGGCCCGGAGGCTGGCATTCAGGTGATGTTTGTCTCAGACCTAGCCTTCTCTTTTTCCTATCTTCCCTGACATCCCAGGAAAGAAAAACAAAATTGTAACATGATATTTAATGTGATTTTGGGGACCTGAATGTAGATGGATCACAATCTTATCTGGTGGAGGGTCCTCAGATGGGGTGTGTGACTGGGGGAAGGAAATCCCTGAGCTGGGGGAGTTGGAGTATACAGGAAAGAAGACGGGGACAGAGCTCATTCCGAGCTTCCTGGGCCTGCGCACTTTCGTCTTGGTAGTCCTCCTCTATAACAAAATATTTAAAATTATATTTTACAACTGCATTCATTGGTAAATACAAAACCCTGAAAACATTTTCTTCCACTGAAACATTCCTTTTTTCCTTCTAATTTCAAAAGAAATCAAAACATCTCCATGGTGTGGGCCTTAGGCACTGTGCCTGCTTTATCGAATGATGGGTCGGCCCTGGGCCTCTGGGTAGCTGGGAATGGATGGAGGAGGAGGAGGAGGAGAAAGAGGAGGAAGGGGG